CCTGCTAAACAACACCCCAAATCCTTGTTTTGTTTTGTTTGGACAAGGTTTTATTGTGTGGCACAGGCTGACCAGGACCTCATGATCCTCCTGCCTCAGCTTCCTGAGTGCTGGGATCACAAGGATGTTGTCATCATGCACCAGATGACATACTGTCTTCACAATGTGTGCCTCAGACTGGCTCTGGAAACCCCAACACTCAGGAGTCTGAGGCAGGAGGATTGACAGTTTGAGTCTAGCCTGGGCTATAGGTAGAGTGAGACCCTGTCTCAAGAAAAGGAAAGTGGGTAGGGAGCAAGAAAGAAAGAGAGGGAGGGAGGGAGGGGGGAGGGAGGAAGTATTCTAGACTGTGGATGTGGCTCAGCTGGGGGCGTGCTTGCCAGGCATGCAGGAAGCCCTGGATTTGATCCCCACAAGCACGCTGGAAGCCCTGGATTTGATCCCTACACAGCATAAAGACCAGGTGGCGGTGGTGGCACACACCTGTAATCCCAGTGCTGTGGAGCTGGAGGCAGGAGGATCGGAAGTTCAAGGTCATCCTCAGCCACATAGGGAGTTCACTGCTAGTGTGTGCTACTTGAGTCCCTGTCTGAATGTGCTCCTGCCAGGGACAAAGGCCAGGAACACTGCAGCACATCCTGCCTGCCATCAGTCTGTGGCCTCAAGCCCGGGTGCCTTGGTTTCCTCTGCAAGCTGGACCTGGAGAGGCCTCCCCTCCCCTCCCGTTCACGGAGGGCAGCTGGCAGTCCCTTCTCTGTCCTTCACCCACACAGGACCCAAACCCATTGGTTCCTTGCCACTCTGCCCCCGGAGGCTCCCACTCCTCCAGAGCCTTTTCTGGCAAGCAGGAAGGGTCACATGTATGCAGCATAGTGCTCCCTATCACTGGGACCAGTCTGGCCCTGGCAACTGACACTTGGGGTCCTGCCGCAGCAGTGGAGTGGGCTCCTCAAGTCTCGGCCTCTAGGTGTCAGGTTCTGGGTCTAGGTTTGGACTTGGCCTTTCCCCCTCCAGCTGTGACAGTGCCAGGGTTCCTTCTGCCTTCTTCTCCAGCTCGGAAGGCCCGCACAGCTGCCCTGTAGCTGGCCTGGGCCAGGAGCGGGCTCGGCATCTCCCTTGCTGTGTCCTCCCCCACACAGCTGCTCTGACCCTGGAGACTGCTGCATATTGAGGATTTGAACCCAGGGCTCACAGGAGATAGTGCCTGCCCAGGCCCACTGTGTGGTGGGCTCTTGCCTTCTCTCTTGGCTTGGTTTGGGTTTTATTTATTTATTTGGATGTACTATTTGACATGTGTTCCTGGGTGTGCATGTATGTGGGGTGTATTGGTCAGAGTTCTCTAGAACAGTGGTTCTCAACCTTCCTAATGCTGTGACCCTTTAATACAGGTCCTCCTGCTGTGGTGACCCCAACCATAAAATAATCTTCATTGCGACTTCATAACTGTAATTTTGCTACTGATATGAATAGTAATGTGAATATTTTTGGAGATGGAAGTTTGTCAAAGGGGTCTCCGAGACCCATAGGTTGAGAACCACCGCTCTAGAGGAACAGAACTAAAATATACACACATTTGTGTCCTTTGAATATCAATATCAAGATAGATAGATAGATAAGGAATTTATTAGAATGGCTTACAGACTGTGGTCCCGTTAATCCGACAATGGCTATCTACCAAAAGAAGGTCCAAGAACCCAGTTCAGTCCACAAGGATGTCTCAGCTGGTCTTCAGTGTATGCTGAAATCCCAAAAAAGTGGGCTCTAGTGCCCGTGAAGGAATAGACTTGTCAGTGAGAGGAAGCAGGCAAAGAGAGCAAGCTTCCTTCCTCCATGTCCTTTCTATAGGCTGCCAGCAGAAGGGGTGGCCCAGATGAAAAGTGGGACTTCCCACTTTAAAAGATCCAGATTAGCCGGGCGGTGGTGGTGCACGCCTTTAATCCCAGCACTCGGGAGGCAGAGCCAGGCGGGTCTCTGTGAGTTCGAGGCCAGCCTGGACTACCAAGTGAGTCCCAGGAAAGGCACAAAGCTACACAGAGAAACCCTGTCTCGAAAAAACCAAAAAAAAAAGAGACAAAAGATCCAGATTAAAAATGGACTTTTCCAGTTCAAATGGTTTAATTAAGGGGGGGAAAAAAATCCCTCATAGATGTACCCAGCCATTTGGGGTTTGGTTAATTCATATATGGTCAAGTTGACAATCGAGCCTCACCTTCCCATGGGAATCCATGTGCATGTTTGTCTGCCCATGTGTAAAGGCAGGTCAGGATTGCCTGTCCTTTTTAATCACTCTCCACTGTATTTTTTGAGGCAGCATCTCTCATTGACTATGGAGCTCAATGGTGGTCTGGGCAAGCCCAGTGTCCTGTCTCCAACTGCTCCGTGCTGTGTGCCACTGAAGCTTTCCGGCTTTCACAGGCTTCCGGGGATCCAGACTTGAACCTCATGTTTGCAGGACCGGCACTCTACAGGCTGAGCTGTGGCTACAGTCTCCCCCAACTCCCCACCTCTTCCAGCTCTTCCTGTCAATGCCACCCAGGCTTGTTCTGTTTTTTTTTTTTTTTTTTTTTTTGACAGGGTCTAATGTAGCCAAGGGTGGCCTCAAACTCACTATGTAGCTAAGGATGACCTTGAACTTCCGACCAGCCTGCCTCCACCTCCAAGTGCTGGGATTATAGGTGTGCGCCACCAAGTCTGGGTTATGTGGTGCTGAGGATCAATCCCAGGGCTGTGTGCATGCTAGGCAAGCACTCTCCCAACTGAGCCACAGTCCCCACCCCTAAGGGTTTCTTTGGGCATCAAAGAAGATACCATCAAAGAAAATACCAGTGACCAGTCTGCAGCTCCTTGATGGCTCCTCTCCAAAGCGTCAAAGCAGGGCTGCAGGAGTCCCCCTGAGCCCCCACCCCACACAGGTCTTCCTCACACCTTTGTCAGCTTGGATGCTAATCTACCTCTCTGAACCAGGTTCCTGCAGGAAGCCGGTGAGGTGGGATGAGTGGAGACCCAGACTATGCTCCTGGGCCTGCATTAGAGCCCCTCCTCTGCCTGAGGAAGTCGTGTGGCCAAGAGAGGATGAGCAGGCCACTGTGCCCTCTGCCACAAACTCAGGTGTCTGAGAGGAAGAGGGAAACCTGGTGACAGAGATGGAAAATTCTAAATTCTTTTCAGCCAGGAAACCATCACCAGCGCTGCCTCTGGAGCTCAGCAGGACGGGGGGGGGGGGGGGGGGGGGGGGCTGCAGCGGTGATCTCCCCCAGCCCCCCACCAGGGTAAAGGGGAGGGGCTGTGCATGGCAGGAGAGAGGAAGACCTGTAAGGGATACTTGCTTGCCCCACCCCCAGCAGGAAGTGGACTCAGCCCATCTTCCTCTACTTTGGGGGCCTTGGGACTCCGAATCTACAGGAGGGTTCTGGAAACCTTTGCCAGAGACTTCTCTGGGAGGACAGGGTGTTCATGTGCTTGCGAGCATGTGCCTGTGTGTAAGTGTGTGTGTATCACACCTCTGTGCATGTCTCTCTGTGTACATGTGTATATGTGCATGTGTGTGTGCATGTTTCTGTGTGTGTATGAGTATGTATATGTGCATGTTTGCATATCTACACATGTGTATGTGTGTGTGTTGTGTGAGTATGTATGTATAATGTATATATGTGCACATCTGTCGGTTTCTCTGTAGGTCTGTCTCTGTGTGCTTGTCTCTGTGTGTGTTTATGTGTTTGTCTGTGTGTTTGTCTACATCTGTTTGTGTGTGTCTGCATGTTTGTCTGTGTGTTTGTGTGTACTTTCTTGCCTGTTCTTTTCTGTGTTGCTGGTCGGACTGATGATTTTATGGTCAGGTGTGTGGTTTCCTCAGAATCAATCAGTACGATGACTCCCTCCCCACAGAAAGAAAGAAAGATTGATGATTTTGGTCAATAAGTTAAGACCATGGGAAGGTGTTCTGAAGAGAACATGTCAGGTGGGGGAGAACTTAAGGGTGGTGACTCAACCCGAGCAGCTGTGGAGTTTCCGGGTAGGTAATGTGGGTTTCAGACAACTGCAGAAAGAAAGCTCTAGAAAGGGGGCTCAGGCCTGGGGAAGCTGGGGCCCAAAGGTCACACAGACGCAGAAGCATTTGGGCCCCTCAACCTCAGCTTGGCACCTGAGCCTGAGGACTAGGGTAACCGGATCCTTGCCTCCTGAGGGGGTGCTGCCGGCCTGTTTCTTCTCTTCAGCGTCCAGTTTGAAAGTTTCCTGGATGGAGGGCTCACCTGCTCCCTGGAACTCTGGCCTCATCCACCTAAAACACTTAGAGGCTTCTGTTCTCACGCCTGGGAGGCAGCCCGGTCAGGGCTCCAGTGCCCAGGCCTGGGGACCCCACCAGTGCTGTTGGACATCACAAGGTGTCACGGACTTTCACAGTGGCCCTAGAAGGAAGGATCCATCATTGTCTCCACCACCTCCCAAGGAAACTAAGGCACAGTGAGGGGAGGTCCCTTACTTGGAATTCCACCCACAATCTCCTTTCCTACAGGTAAAGTGAGCCTTTGCCTCACAAGAAACCTCTGAACAGCCCATCCACAGGACTCCTGAAACATGGAAACTGTCCCCAGCCCCTGGTGGCCTCCATCTAGTTTTTTGAGATGATCTCCCCATGTAGCACTGACTGAACTGGAGCTCCTGTGTAGACCAGGCTAGCCTCAAACTTGCAGCAATGATCTTGCCTCCACCACCAGAGTGCTGGGATGGCGGGCATGCACCACCATGCCCAGCTTCGGAATTTGTCTTCTGCTGTCTGGTGCTTTCACTGGGCAGAGTCGGGATTCCACTATATACCGTGCACCAGGCTTTCTTTTCATAAATGAATACTATGCCAGCACGAGCATGGCATTTGTTCATGCAATGGAGGGCACCATGTCACTCATCTTTGGTTACTGTGAGTGATGGGACTGTGATAATGAGTGTGCAAGTGTCCTTTGAGACCCTGTTTCAGCTTTTGGAGGCAGACATCCAGAAGTGGATCAAGCATACAGTAGTTCTTTTCTTTTATTTCTTTTGGGGGAACCAGTATCCCGTTTCCATAGTAACTGCACCATCGGGTCAGTGCTTCATCTTGTTTCCATAGTGACTGTTTCAAAGCACCCTCTTCACATCCTCGCCAACACTTGTTATTCTCTTTCTCTTGACTGTGGCTGTCCTGACACGTGGGAAGTGGTACCTCCTGGCTGGTTTAACTTTTTAAAATGTAGTGGTTTTGTGTTTGTGTGTGTAGTGGGTATATGAACACTTGCCACCGTGTGTGTGTGGAGGTCAGAGGACAACTTTGTGAATTTATTTCTGTCCTTCCACCTTTTCGTAGGTTCCAGGGATCAAACTCGGTTGTCAGGTTTGCTAGGCAAATGCTTTTGTCCTCTGAGACATCTTGCTGACCTCGCGGCTTGTTTTTGTTTGTTTTGAGACAGGTCTGGTGTGGTCCAGGCTAGTCTTGAACTCTTTCTACACAGCTAAGGCTGATCTTGAACTTGAGAGCAAGGCCATGTCTATACCCACTCACGATGGCTCTTGGTGAAATTATGTGGTGAGCCACAGGCTTGCAAGGACTAGCCGCAGCCGCAGGAACTGTGGGCCCAAACACTGGATGGGATTTGTGATTTTGTGGGTCTGGGGCGAAGGATGACACCCACAGAACCCGCAGGTAAGTCAAGAGTCCTCCCCAAGCCTGGGCAGGGCCCTGGGGGTCCAGGTCACCCAGGGGATGCTCCAGCTAGCTGTGGCTGAAAGGCAGGCACAGGAGTACCTGAGTGGCTGCGAGAGGCTTCCAGCACAGAATTCCCCAGCCCCTCAACACAAGTCTTCCTCTGTGAGGCCTGTGGGTCACAGGGTCTCAACCTCCTTGTGAGCCACGGCTTTGGCTCAGCTCTCATCCCCATCTCTGTAGCTCAGGCTTTCCCTCAGCAAGTCTGAACCAGAGGAAGCAGGAGCCACCTAGGACAGGGAGACAAATTCTCAGCTGCTGTCACATCCACATGCACACAACTTGACCATGTGTGTATACTAACACCCAGGCACATACCAGGGGTAGCATGGCCATGATCAAACCAAGCTCTCCTCATGCACAGAAGCACACAGAACACCCCCACAACCTGTCAGGATAGCCACAGTCAAGAGACAGAGAATAAGAAAATACAGAACCACGAAAGCACACACGTATAACACACACACACACACACACACACACACACACACACACACACCCTGCATATGCACACACCACCCCTGACACAGGGGATCACAACCCCCTATATCCACCTGCACATAGGCACACAGCAACTCCCAACACAATGGCACATAAGCACACACATCGTCACATGTATACCACACACATGCACACCCTGTGCATGCTCACACACCCATGTATACCTGGGCAGGGGGTGGTCGAAGACATGACACAGAGAGTCACAACTCCCCATTCACTTGCTCTCCTACCCCTTTTCTAGTGAAGGGCTCCCTCTGGGCCTCAGTTTCCTCATCTGCACAATGGGTGGGATCCAGGCTCACCTCACAGGTTAGCATGAACTAGCTGGTGCTATCCCCCTACAGTCAGAGCCCTGGAAGCTGGGGGTGGGGGGGGTAGAGGGGAGTAGGGGGTGCATCTTCCTTGCTGGGAGGCATCTGTTCACCTAGGCTCACATTATCCTGCAGCCTCCAGCCTGGCTTCCCCTGGGGAACTGGAGTTCCACCTCCCAGTGCGGTTCTGGTCTCCACTGGGCCCCAGACCCAGCAAACAATTTTGCATATATTTAAATCTCCTCTGTGGGCTCCCTGGCTCCACCTCCCCCCCCCCAAAGGAGAGAAAGAAATGACAAAGGCGTCATTTGTCTCCGTCGAGCACCCCATCTATCAGGGTCGCCGAGCCCGTCGCCTCGAATGAGGCGCGCACCCGGGAAGGCCGCTTTAATGGGCTCCGCGTGTGACTGCAGCCGGGCGGTGCAGGGCCGGCATTTGCATACATATTAAACGGAGCAGTAAAAAATGCAGACATGCAAACCATTTGGACGGCTCCTCGCACACAGCCTGCCAGGAAATCAATCTTTGGGTTTCTTAAAGGAAACCTGCTCCAGAGAGAAGGTGGGATGCACGCAGCCCACGGTCCCGGAGGGGAGTGGGGAGGAAATGCCACTCAGTGGTCTGTCCTTGTGTCCACCTGGGCCTTCCCGGCCACAGGAAAATCAGGGGCAGTGAGGCGAATCCTGTGCGTCCCGCTATATGCAGAGGCTCTTCCTCTGAACCCTATCATTGAGGGCTGGGAGTGCTCCCCCATCTTTGTGTCTGGGGTGCTGGGCCACAAGCCCAAGCCTGCGCAGGCACTGGGTCTCTGGATGCTTTCCTCTTCTCAAGCTACATGACCTTAGGAGAGTCACCAACCTTTGTTTTCCTTTTTCCTTCTTTCTTTTTGTTTTTTGCTTGTTTTTATTGTTGTTGCTTTTTCTTTGTTTGTTTGTTTTTCTGAGAGAGGGTTTCTCTGTGTAGCCCCGGCTGCCCTAGAACCCGCTCTGTAGTCCAGGTTGGCCTAGAAATCAGAGATCTGCCGGCCTCTGCCTCGCCAGTGCTGGGATTAAAAGCCTGCACCTCTCTGTGTGTTCGAGGCCAGCCAGGGCTGTACACAGAGAAACCCTGTCTGGAAAACAAACAAACAAAAGCAAGCCTGTGACACCACTGCCCAGCTAACCTTTGTTTTCTAAGCAAGTGGTGTGATGCGTCTCCTCTGCAGTGGCATGTTTGATTAAAGACCAGGCCTGTAGAACACGAGCACTCAGCTGGAGTCGGGCGGCGTCCGCCTTCAATCTCAGCACTAATGAGGCAGAGGCAGGAGGATCTCTGTGAGTTCTAGGCCAGCCTGGGCTATAGAGTGAGACTCTGCCTCAAGAAATAAGCAAAAACTGCTGGTAAAGGGGCTGTTAGAGGGGCCTCCGTGCTACGTATGTGTGTTCATATTCATCTGCACAGTCAAGCCGCCCTTCCCCACCTCCTGAGCTACACAGTGGGCTGCTATGACTCTCACGGGACCTTCCAGCTCCACACTAGAGGGCATGTGACCCAAAAGACCCGTCAGCAGCATTTCGGCAGGGAGGGGGCACCTGAGCAGACAGATCCCCACTCCCCGGAAGAGGCAAGTGGCCTAGCAATGCCAGTCCCCAACCCTCCGAGTCCACTGTGCAGATGAGGAAACTCGAGTGGGCTGGAGGGGCCGAAGCCACTGAGCTTCAGGGTGGCGGAGGGGGCGGTCCCTCCCCCCGTGTGTAGGAGGCGACTCTCCCCCACCAGAAATGCCATTCACCTAGGAGAAAGAATGGGCCTGGAGCTCACTGGCCTGCGGGTGAATGGTTGGCACCTAGCAAGGTGGAAGGGTGGGGAGGAGAAAAGGAAGCTTCCCACGTGAGCCCAAGTGGCCTCACTCTCCCGGAGGAGGGAACGCAGGGTGGCCGGCCTTAGCACCTGCAGAGCCACGCGGAGGGGCTTGGCCCAGGGCGAGCCCGCCTGCTCCAGAGACCCTGGGGCTGGGGTGAGATTATCCGGTCGGGGCTCTGAGCATCCTGGCAGGTGCCAGTGACCTCTGCAGTCCTGTGTGGGCTGCAGCCTGGAGCCAAGGGAGCCAACAAGGCCCCGCCCACGGCTGTGGCCCCCAAGATATACGCTGGGATGTGCCTACTCGGCTTGGGTGGCCGGCCTGCTTCTCCGCCTCCCCTGGAGCCCAAGCTCTGGAGCTTCAGTTTCTCCACCTCTCTAAAAAGCCAGAGGTGGAGGCGATGAGGAGGGCTGGTGGGGGGGATGGGTGAGGGGGTCGAAGTTACTGGACCCCAGGGGCGATTGCTCAGCCTGGGGGAGCCTGGCCGTAGGGCCTGCAGCCCCCCACTCTACTGCCCCCCTCCCCCGTCCTCCCTCCCTCCGGGCCCCGCATAACAAACATTCCTTGCCGACCAACCCCTGCAGCAGCAGCCTGGGAAGGGGGGAACTACCGCAGACAGCAGGCGGCCGCCAGAAACGCTTAACCCCTTCGCTCCCAGCCGCCGGAGCCCACGACCCCGGGGAGGGAAGTCTTGGCTGCCAGAGTCCTTCCCAGGCTCTGGTGACCCGGTCAGGCGATTGACCTGGATCAACAAGTCGTCAATCTATCAGAACTCACTCCGAAGTTGCCAGAGCTCGCCCCGGACCAGGCCAAGGCCCTGGGGTGTGGGGTGGAGGTACTACGGAGACCCACCACACTTTCCCAATTATAGAGTGTTCAGCCTGAATCCAGTGGAAGTGGCTCCCACAAGGTGCTGAGGGCTTCCTGGTCTCTGGAAGGATAAGTTTAGGGAGCTTAGAGCAGAATAATATTGACAGTTTCTGTGGGGATCCCGCAGGTGGAGAGCATACCCCACACACACACACACACACACACACACACACACACACACACACACACGACCCCCACCCTGCACCTTCTGAAGTGAAGGCAAAGGACTGATCAGGGTACAACATGGTCATGTTTTTCCAGTAAAGAATAACTCAGGGCCGAGGAGAGGCTTAGCCCGAAAAGCCTTTGCCACACTGTGAGGACCTGAATTAGATCGGGTCTCTAACACTCACATCAGAAACCCAGGCCTGGAAGGAAGCATTCGACTGTAATTCTAGTACTGGACTGGGGGAGAGGCAGGAGGATCCCTGGCCAGATGTCTAGCCTAATTAGTGATCTTCAGGTCCCAGGGAGAGATCCCATCTCAGAGGAGGTAGACAGGGCCTGAGGATCAGGCTGGCCTCTGGCTTCCACAAATATGCATAAATACACACAGAACAGCAACCTAGAGGACGGGGATTCATTTACAAATCAACACACTGAAGTCCAGCACACCTGAACACACCCAAGTGCCACCAACAGGACACACTCCACATGGCATCCTGGCACAGACAGACTCTTCCGTAACCAGCGCAGCTCACCAGCTCACCCAGCTGCAGACTGACTGCCAGCCAGCCTCAGTGTTGGTAGCCACAGGAAGTGGACCACCCTCCCACCCCCGCCTCCCCCTACCTATCCCTCCCCCACCCAGTCCCAATTAGTCCCTGGCTTCTCACCTGTCCTGGACCTCAGGTCTTGTTAGAGAAGCAGATTCAAGGCCCAGAAAACCAGGAGCCACTTGGAAAGGACATCTAACTCATGCAGTTTTGTGTGTGTGTGTGTGTGTGTGTGTGTGTGTGTGTGTGTGTGTGTCCTCTTCACTTCCTAAGGCATGAAGCAAACAGCTAGAGAGGAAAGTCTGTTGGAAAGCTCTAGATTGCAATGTGTTTACTACAGAGAACCCCCCATCACCCCAATTCAACTCACTAAATAACTGGATCCTCCTGCCTCCACCCCTGCCCCCCAGAACCGGGATGACAGATGTGTGCCACCACATCTGGTTTATGCAGTACTGGAGAATCGAACTCAGGGCTCTGTCCATGCTTGGCCTGCTCCCAGCTGAGCCACACACACTCCCAGCCTTTACAGCCTTCTTTTTGATGAAGTAATAGAACTCAATATATCAGTATACCACAGATAGCTTTTCTGATGGGATGGGAGGAAGAGGTCTTTGGCCCCACTTTATGCACACCCATAAGGTCTCTGGGTTCCCCTGGCTACCCCAAACTTCCCAGGACAGATGGAGAACCAAAAGGCAAATTCAGTCTGTGGTTCTGTGTGTGTGGAAACTAAGGCCCAGCGAGACTGAGACACTTGCCCAGAGTCACACAGCTCCCAAATAGGCCTGACACAAAGCAAGTGCCTTTGGTCCTTCCCTCCAGGTCCTTCTCCTGCTTCCGAATACCCTTGCAGCCCAGTCCAGGCTACAGGACCCAGTGTCTGTAGCTAGTAGTCTGTGTGTTGGGATAACAAACCTGGGCCAATATGAAGTCTGTGTGTGGAGTCTTCTGGGGGAAACGCCCAGGATGTTTCCCCAGTGGAGAATCATACTGCACCCTTACTGGCAGGCAGGAGCTGGCGGAACCTGGGCCCGAACACCTCCCCAGCACAAGGCGGGGATGAATTCATGGACTCCTTTAGAAGGCCCATGGACTGAAGTCAACAGGACACTTCTATATGGACTCCTTGAACTTGGAGTGTCATGGAATCAGTGTCTGGCTGTCCTGGCGAAGCAATCTGGAGTCCTCAGGCTGGGTCCAGACCCTGACTCTGAATATGAATCGCAATGTGGGGAGGGGTGACCTCAGTATCACCCATTTTATAAATGGGAAACTGAGGACCATGAAGTCACTAGCCTGAGATAACAGCTAAGGATCAGTGAGGCTTAGACTCTGCTGTGGGGGACACCCAGAGACACTCTCATTTACCACTTGGCCTCCCAGCCAGGGCCCTGCCCTGCCCCTGCCTGCGTGGCCGTTTGTCACAGCAAGCAGACTGTGACTTGACAGTAGGTACCCCAACCCCTCACCCTGCTTCTACATTCAATCTTGCCACATCTTGTTTTGTTTTGTCTGAGACAGGGTTTCTCAGTGGAGCCCTGGCTGTCCTGGAACTCCCTGTGTAGGCCAGGCTGGCCTTGAATTCAAAGATCTGCCTCCCTAGTGCTGAGATTAAAGGCATGCACCACCACTGCCCAGCACAATCAATGAATACTTTATCTCATCTGTATTATTTGTTTATCACTGGCTTGGGTCCATCCTAAGTTCCTTCTGCTCCAGTCCTCTCTCCCACGATGCTATTTTGACTATAGCTGTGAACACACACACACACACACACACACACACACACACACACACACACAATCTCACCTCATGCACAGCTTACAAAGGAATGGTCTAACCTGGGAACGTGGGTGGAACAGGCTGCCCGGGGTGAGGGTTGCCTGGTGTCATGGCACTCATGACCTGACCGAGTACAGCTGTCGTCCCCGGAGCTCAGTGTGGCTGATAAGTTCCCGTTTCTTCCATTTCCTTCACATCCCTGGTTAATACCCAAGCCGTCATGTCCACTAAATGGTAGGAAACCAACAATGTGCTCCAGGAAAGATACCTCTCTTTGTGTTGACGTGATGGTTGCCATGGTCACCAACCTCCAAGATGGTCTCCAAATGATTCCTGCCTTCAGGCATTTACAGGCTGTATTGTCTCCTTCCACAGTGAACAGGGCTGGTGGCTAACGTGCTGTCCAAGGCATGGTCATAAAGACTCTTTTACATTGCCCAATCTGGTGGAAGCCAGCTGCCATCTTGGAAGGAAACTCAAGCAGCCCCGTGGTTCACGAGACAAGTCTGTAGGAAGCACATACCCTTCAGACAGCTGCAGCCACAGTGTCCTCAGGCTGGGGACAGCCAGTGAGGCTGCAGCTGAATTCCTGATCTTCTGAAACTGAAATAAAAAGTGCTTAGGTATGGGGTCATTGGTTATGGAATGGGTGGTGACTAGTACAGAAACAGAGCTGTCATCCACAGGCCTCCCAAAATGCATTCCCAGGCATCCTGACCCCCAGGACATGCCTTGAAAACTACTCTTAGTGAAAGCAGGCAGACCATGGCATGCTTCCTGGTCAAGAGTTCCAGGATTCTGGCTTGTTTGAGCAGGCCCTTCTGGCTGGGGGAGCTGTTCTCCTAATCCTGCATTTCTCAGAAGCTCTGGGATCCTGCCATCAGAATCCTTTGGGACACAGGACCAAACTGAGGTCTTGTCTTGACTCTGTGCACCCTTGCGGAGAAGGGTTTGTCCTGGAACCCCACCATGCTCCCTTGACGGGGATCTTCATCCCTGTGTGAGCTAGCTGCTTCTAAAACACACAGGGACATTTTTCTGAGGGAATACAACCATGGTCTTAAAACACGACCCACTGGAAAATGGCGTTGGATATAGAAAAATTCATTTCACACGCAACTTTTTCAGGCTGAATCCACCCCCTTCAGGGAGGCAAGGCAGCACTCAGGAAACCACATTCTTTCAGGTCCCTGGGGCCTTGTGGGGGTGGGAATGGAGCTCTCTCTGCACACTAGAAGGCTGAGCGCTTTCTTTTCTGTTACAGGCATAATTCTCCCCTGGAGCTGCTCTGTCCTTCCTAACATGGCACCCTGGGTTCTTTAACCCCAGGGCCTTCCCTTGCAGACCCCAAAGGTTGGCCACAGTCCCCTGAGGGCTTGGGGCAGCAGCAGGGAGAGGGAAGGAGACCACAAGTATTGAACCCTCACTGCTCAACACAAGTGAGTACAAGCAGCCCAGCCTTTTCCCTCTGGAGTTTCCCACCAACCCTACGACCCTATGCAGGCCAGTTGCTGCAGAATCTGGACAAGATCCCCAGCTGATCTGAGGCACATAACAAGGTCAGGGAGAGCTGGAATGAGCCCTGGAAAGGCTGGCTTGAGATGCACCTCATCCTGATGCACTGAACTCCCCCTCCCCTTCCAGGTTCTCTGTCCTGGCTTAGCTTCGCACAGGGGCACCCCGCTGAACTTCCTGAGAGCCCACCCCATGCCTCTGCTTTTTCTCTGCCTCCTTCCTTCATCATGGAAAGCCATAGGAGGATCATGGTAAGACAGGGTGGGAAGGGCAGAAACCCAAATTAAAGGGACGGTGACAGTACTGACGGCAGTAAAGACCTGCTGCCCTACCTGGGCGTGGGGACTCTCAGCACTCGGGAGGTGGAGGCAGGAGGATCAGGAGCTCAAGGTCAGTCTCAGCTACTCTGTGAGCCAGAGGCTGGGCTGCAGAGAAGGAGGAGGAGGGGGAGAGAAGGAGAGAGGAGGAAGAGGAGCAGGAGGAGGAGGAGCAGGAAGAGGAGGAAGAGGAGCAGGAAGAAGAGGAGCAGGAAGAGGAAGGAAGAGTTAGTGTGTCAGCCCTTTTACAGGGCACCTAGAACCCAGGAAAGAGATAATGGGACTCAGAGAGGGAGAGTCATCTATCAGAGTCACACAGCAGCAAGTAGCATTCAGAAGGACCCTGCAGGGTCTTTCTGCACCCTGCTGAGGGAAGACTTCCTAGATGGGTGGCAGGGCAAGCCACAGGGACTGTCAAGGAACTGTGCCTCCATCCAGCCGGTGGCTTATTCTAGTGGGTACCTACACTAGGGTGATTGGGATCTTCAGTGGCTTCAGAGCCCTGCGCTGGTCTGAACCTCTCAGTCCCTGTGGTGGCTGCACCTTCCCTGGGGGCTGGCTGTGTTTGGGGGTGTTTTTTTTTTTTTTTTTTTTTTTTTTTGGTTTTTCGAGACAGGGTTTCTCTGTGTAGCTTTGCGCCTTTCCTGGAACTCACTTGGTAGCCCAGGCTGGCCTCGAACTCACAGAGATCCGCCTGGCTCTGCCTCCCGAGTGCTGGGATTAAAGGCGTGCGCCACCACCGCCCGGCATTGGGGGTGTTTTTTACAATTGGTAGCAACTGTGCCTTTCCTAGGGGGAGCTAAGCTGAGGGTGCCAAACACCCCAACTCAGCTCTTGACTCACCCCAAAGGAGGGCGATCCTACTCAGCCAGCCAGCTTGTTTGGGTCTGCTGGGGGCAACCACAGCTGGATAGACTCTCAGCAATGAAGAGAGGGACCAGCCAAGAATGCGCACTCACGAGAGTGTGAGGGAGGCCACTGCCTCTGAACTCCCCAGGCAGCTCACAGCAGCCTTTCCAGCTTCTCAGAGGAGCTGGTTCGGAGGCAAAGCACTTGTCCAGCACACCAGATGTGGGGTGCAGGGCGGGGTGAGAGTCAGGGTTTCCCCACCCCTACCTCACCCCACCAACCATGGGGGTAGCCAAGAAGTTGGAGGAGGGATGTTGGCCTCAGCTCACTGGGAGGTACAGGAATGGAGAGATCTGCAGGCAGGCCCTTTCCTGTATTCTCTACCCTGGCGATCTTTGGGGAGGGTGTGGGGGACCCATCTGCAGCTTGGCAGGGGAGGCTAGCAGGCCCAGCTTAGGCACACATGGCACAAGATGGGGGTCAGACAGCCAGGAAGCATCACACTGGTTAGAGAGGAGACCAACCCTCCCTCCCCGACCTCACCTCACAACACAGGGGGTTCCAAGCCTTGGATGCACCTGCCAGGAAAGTTCAGAGGCCATAGTGGACTCAGAGGGATGATGGACTTGGAGTATCTGCCACTGACTGGCAACTGCCCTCTCCTCCACCTGGGACCGAGGTCCCCAGAGTCCACGATCCTGAGGGTATGTCTTCTCCATCCCAAACAGAAAGTCACCTCTGAGCACTCTGGAAGCCACTACGAAGAAGGGCACAATAGCTTCTTTAAAATGATTCTCAGGGCTGGAGAGATGGCTCAGTGGTTAAGAGTACTGGCTGCTCTTCCAGAGGACCTGGGTTCAATTCTCAGTACCCACAGGCAGCTCTCATAACTGTCTGTAACTCCAGTTCCAGGGGACCCAACCCAGCACCCATTGCAAAACATCAATGCACATTAAAAAAAAAAAATGATTCTCAGGGGCAGGCAAGGTGACTCAGTGGGTAAAGGACCTTGCTGCCAAGCCTGAGGACCCGAGTTCAATCCCTGGAACCCACATGGTGGAAGGAGAGAACTGACTCCAGCAAGTTGTTCCATGATCTCCACATGCTTGCTGTGACATGGGCCTGCCCATACACATACTACACATGTAAATAAATGAGGAAATGTAATTCTAAAAGATTACTGGCTGGTGAGAGGTTCAGTCAAGTGCTTGTCAGATAAGCATGAAGAAGAATTGAGTGGAATCCCTTGGAACCACACTTAAAAAAAAAAAAAAAATCCGAGCCGGGCAGTGGTGGCGCACGCCTTTAATCCCAGTACTCGGGAGGCAGAGGCAGGAGGATCTCTGTGAGTTCAAGGCCAGCCTGGGCTACAGAGTGAGTTCCAGGACAGCCAGGGCTACACAGAGAAACCCCGTCTCAAAAAACAAAACAAACAAACAAAATCCAGGCATGGCAGTGTATACATCTATGATCTCAGCTCTGGGAAGGCTGAGGCAGGAGGATACCTAGAGTTGCCTGGCCAGTCAGTCTGGCCAGTTGGTGGCTCCAGGTTCAGTGAGAGGCCCTGTCTCACAAAGTAGGGTAGAGGCTGGGCATGTGGAACATGCCTTGAATCCCAGTTGTCTGGAGGCAGAAGCAGGTGGATCTCTGTGAGTTCCAGGCCAGTGTCAGGGCTAAACACAAAACACACACACACACACACACACACACACACACACACACACACACACACACAGACACCACACACTGGAGGTAAAGACTGGTTGAGGAAGATACCCAGTGTTGACCTTTAACCTCCTTATGTATGTATACACAGGTGCACACACACATGTATACACATGCACTAACAACACACACACACACACACACACACACACACACACACACATCCACTTTGGGAACAAATGACAGACAGTCCATCTGCTGTAACAAAGGACCTAAGGAATGTTGGTGCACCAGAGGGACTTTTTTTTTGAAAAGGTCTCACTATGTGGCCCTGGCTGTCCTGAAACTTGCTATATAGTCCAGGCTGGCCTTGAACTCAGAGGTCTGCCTGCCTCTGCCTCCTGAGTGTTGGGATTATAGGCATGTGCCACCACACCCTGTCCACACTTGTTTTTTATTTTTTGTGCATATGTGTGAGGTCACGTGAGTGTGTGTGCCCCACGTGCATGCAGGTGCCTGCGGGAGACAGAGTGTCAGATCCTCTCTCAGTTACAGGTGGTTGAGCGGCCTGCTGTGGGTGCTGGGAACTGAGTCAGAATCCTGAAAGTAAGAAGTCTCTCAGGCACTGAGCCATCTCTCCAGCTAGGGGAGTGCTGGCAAGCAGGTCCAGGAGCAGACCTTGGTGACATCTCACTGTGTGCCGTATTCTGTCCCTCTCAACCCCACTGTCTTCAGAGGTCCCCTTCTTGGTGAGTCTCTGCTCCCAGGAAGTACCTCTTCTAGGGCAGAGGCATGCCTACTTTGTACCCCAAACTTTGCCTAGTGCCAGCTGCTGGGACCCACACTCCAGGGCTGCCTTCCCTGCCAAGCTCACAGCTCTACTATGAACCAGGACAGGACTTAAGGCCCAGCAGCCCCAGCACCTCACACCAGGGACCTTTAGTGTGACAGTGCTAGTCCCCTCCAGCCTGGGACAGGCGCCTCCATCCCCACACTCCCCAGGACACTGTGAGGCCAAACTGGGCAGGTAGGGGCTTTGGCTTCCGGGATGGTTAGCACGAATTGTCAACCTGACAGAATCTAGGGGACAGGCTTACTTCCAGGGGATGGAGTGGGAAGACCCACCCACTCTGGGTAGCTCCATTCCTTGGTTGGGATCTTGGGCTGAAATGGAGAAAAGGAACTAGGTCCACTACACATTCATGGCTCTCTGCTTCCTGACTGGATCTGATGTGGCCGGCTGCTGCTGTCTTGATGTTCTTAGATGCTGTGTGTCGGGCAAAGAAAACCCTCCCTTTCTTAGGGGCTTCTGTCAGGGTATTTTATCACGACAACAGAGAAATAACTGAGAAGACCCACACATGCTCACAATGTGGGCCACCCTGTCTGACCTTTTCTGGGCCAGGAACACCTCTGGGCATTAAGCAAGTATTCAGACACTGGGTGTGGTTCAGAAAGGTCACTGAAAAAGACTTTTTTGAGTCAGGTTTAGTGGCACATGTCTGTTAGATACTGGGGATGACAACAGGTGGGGGTGATGGGTTCAAGTCCAGCCTGGGCTACAAGGTGAAACCCTGTCTCAAAACACACACCACCACCACCATCATACCACCACTACAGCAGCACCTTACCACCATCATCACAACACTACCATACCACCACCGCCACCATACCACTACACCACACCACCATCATCACACCATCACCACCCACCACCACATCACTATTACATCATCACCACTACCACACTACCACCACACCAGCACCACACCACCACCCTGCCAGCACCACGCCAGCACCACACTAGCACCACACCAGTACCACACCAGCACCACACCAGCACCGCGCCACCTCTTCTTGAAAAGCCTAAGGATAAGGACCTTGGTAGGAGGTAAACGAGACTACTTTCGAGACTGACGTCTTTCTAACCCATTCTTCCCAAGCAAGACTACAGTGGCCAGCACGGCCAAAGCCCCCGTCCTGCCCCTGCCCAGAATCCCGGAAGCCAGATCCAAACAGCCTACCTCCGACAGCCCTACCTGCTGGTCATACACTTGCCATGAAGGGCAACCTGCAAAAGCCAGCCCAGGTGGGCTGGTCCCTGGCAGCAGGGCCATGGTTGGTCAGCTACACGCTACATTGAGGGTCTTGGTCAGCGATGGATGACATGTAAGAGGCCTACATCATAGGCTGCTCAGCCAGTGATGGCATAGCTGTCCTGGTTTGCGCATGCGCCCTGGGTTCTTCAATGACACGCCTAACACCTTAGTCAGACCCTTTCCCCGTCCCCAGGTACTGTGTGATATCAGCACAGTCCTTACAAACCAGGCAGCCAGCGAGACACTCTTCAGGAGTGAATCCCACTGAACTCTCATCAGCCTGTCTCCACGCCGGAAATCAGGAAGCCAGGACTCCCAGAGGTGAGGTGAGGCTCCAAGGTCGCTCCATGGCCTCCAGTTCTGTCTCCCGCTATCACCCACCCCAGAATCGGAGACCCTTCAGAGACAAGCCACAGCAACAGCTTGTATGTGTGAGTGACCCTGGCCGGTAATCACACAGCAAGGCCACACACACACACCGCCAACGTTTCTGTAAATGGGAATCACGGCGACAAAGACGGAAATTAAACCGGGTCACACAAAAGGCAGGGCTGGGAGATGGCTCAGTGCTCAGAGTGTTTGCTCTTCAACCATGGAGGACCGAGTTTGGCTCCCCGGCACCCACATAAAAGCCAGGAGTAGCAGCATTTGTCAGAAGTTCTGGTGCTCAGGAGGAGATGACAGTCAAGCAGGTCCCCTGAGCTCATCAGAGAGTTTTGGGTTCAGTGAGAGCCCTTGTCTGAAAAGCAAGCTAGACATCTCTAGTCTCTGTGTAAACACGTAGCACATGCACCCTGGAACACATGTGCAAACACCCACACAAACATGCACACATGTACCACATACACATGCATTGGCCAACTGCCATCCAATTTCCAGGGAAGTAAGGAAACCATTGGGTGGGCTCAGGAGAGAAGGCTCGGGAACGGGAGGGAGTATGGTGGGCACCCGTCAAAGGGACATGGGAGGGCTGGTCCCAAGCAGCTCTGTCACACAGCTGTCAGAAGCTGGATTCCCCAGATGGACGAGTCCAGGCTGCTTCCTGGCAAGTTGGGCTAGCTCCTGGACCCTTGCTTAGTCTGTTCATCTGAAGGAAACTTTGCTGGCCAGCAGGGCTGGGGCTGGAGCTGAGAGGGAGCCGTGGTGAGTAACACTGGGGTGAGGGTGGTCCCTGGGGCCGGCCACAACAGCTCAGGGTGACTTTCCAAGCCAAAGCTGAGACCGGGACTGGGTGCCCAGATGCCCAGTCAGGTGCTGCTACTGTCACCACTGTTGAGGTCCTCACTAGGACAAGAAATGAAAAGCTGTGGGGCGGAGGGGGGCACAGTTACAAGACTGTGTCGCAACTTATGACACTGGAAATCACCGAGAAACTGTTTACATCGAGACCTCCTGGCTCTCGCTAGGCCTGGACGGTCTCAGGACAGCTGTTCCAGAACCTTCTCTATCCCTCTGCCTTTCATCTTCACCACAGCCAGGGCCTGTCGAGATCGCCAAGGGAGCCAAGGCCTGGGGTGCCCAGTCTCAGAACTCACCGTCCTTGCTCAGCTCCATGCCTCAGTTCCCTCCTCTGTAGCATGCCAACAGTAGTAACTTTCTAGGGGCTGCTGTGGGCACCGCTGGGATCCTTGTGGGGCAATCACAGCCAGGCCACAGTGAGCTGCTCTTTCCTCCCTCATCCCAGGCACTTTGCACATTCCCAGTCCAAGGGTGGCATCTCCTAGGTGTTGTCTGAGAAGCTGTGGCCCGAGAAGCTGTGGCCCTAAGCGTGCTGAGGATAGATGGTTGCCTATCCAGAGGCCACTGCTTGCCTCAGGTCTGTGGCTGCCCGAGACCTCTGCCTCTGCCTGGCCTCTTAGACCACAGAGCAGGGAATCTGAAGTTTCCTTTTGAGGGGTATGGGCCAAACAGCTGGCTTTGTGGTTCCTGCCCTGCTCAGGCCCACAGTCTAACTTTGAGTCAGAAACCCGGAGGATGGTTGTGGCTGAGGGGCTTCCAGTGAAGATGCTCAGAGGAAGGGCAGAGGAGAGAGAAGGTACCAGGCAGGAGCTGCTGGGCACTCCTCCCACCACCCCAAGAAGTGCAGGAGCTCCCTGGGTCCCCAAGGTCACCCTGGGAGCAGGGCAGGGCCTTACTTCCAGCTCATACACGGGGAGACCAGCACCTTCTGGTCCCTGGATTGGGCTGGATGGTCAAAGAGAACCACTGGGCACAAAATCCTCTGGCACCTGTGAGGCAACGAGCGGGTTTTACCATCGCCACCCCCATTTTACATATGGAGAAACTGAGTCCCAGGGAGGACTGCAACACCCCTCTGGTCTATCTCTAGGGAAACCTGGGACCAGCCTGAGAGTGCCTTGGCCAGGTCGGGAAGAAGGGGCTATGGACCAGGGACTGGGGTGTAGGTGGGGGTGAGGAGGAGCTGAAGGAGGAGGCAGAGAAAACAAAACACAAAACCAAACCAAACCCTACCAGTACCAGGCAGAGAGAGAGAGGAATGTGGGTGGGGACAGGGTCAGTTGGGGAGAGGCCTGGGACCCCCAGAGCCCCGGGTAGTTCCCCCTCCCTCCCAGGTGCGACCCCCCAACTTCCCGGAAGACACCACCCCCAGCTGGGCGGGGAGAAGGCCCACCGCCCCCGAGTCACCCAATCAGAGGCACTCCCAGTCTGATGGCGGAGGCGCGGGCTGAGGGTTCCCCGGGCCTTCGGGCGAGCCCGGGGACCTGACCCCGACTCGGTGCCCCCGGCCCCCGCCCCCCAGCCTCATTAGCACCGACGCCCGTCGTCTCCCCTAGCTTTCCGGTGGCTCCAGAATTTAAAGGTTAAATCCTAACCTCATCTCAGCAGTTTCTCCGGGCTTTGCCTACCCAGCGCCAGTTGCTGGTAATTATATGCATCTCCGAGCAGCCAATCAGCTGTCAGACTGACAGATACTGATCTTTTCGTTTTATTTTTAGCTCTGTGCTTCCCCCTCTAGTTGCAAAAAAAAATTCTGTTTGTTCTGCGAGCCGCTGCCTGCAGCCCTGCTCTCATCTCTCCTCCAGCAAAGCGGGAGCAGGCGGCCACCGAGGACGGAGCCTCCATCCCTGCCCCAGAGCGGGGACAAAACGGCCTCTGTCCCCAGCTGAGGCCGGTATAGTCCGGCCAGGAGGAGGTCCGGTTGCTGCACGTGGCCGAGGCGCCCACGGATGCTGCACAGGGCCGAGGCGCCCACGGATGCGCCGCTGAGGGAGAGAAGAGGGCCTGACCTGGGGAGGCTGTGGCATGGAAGGGAAGCAGTGGAGTCAGGCGAAGACAAACGGACAGAAGGGCGAGCTGGACTGAGAGTGGAGGGGTTACACAAGCCAGTGGCACCCGGAAAGCAGTCACCCCACAAACTGAACAGAAAGGGGCCCAGAGGCTATACCACCAGTCCGAGGCCCCAGAGGGGCTCCCAGCCCATGTCTGCAGGGCCAGGCCAGGCCAGGCACGCTGGACCTCCTAGGTTGGTGCCTCACCTGCCTTGGGAAGGGTCAGTGATGTGCCCCCTGGAGTCCTCTTATGGATCATTCTAGAAAGCCCCATAGGCCTTCCCGGAGGCCCCGTTCATAGTAGATTTTGGAGAGGCCAGCGCCGAGGGATAAAATCATTCGGACTTTGCTTTCTGTGCCGCAGCACTCTACGGTTTATGAAAATTTCCCTTATACATGCACACTCTGCCCGATGCCCATGCTTGGCCACAAGAGAGAAGTAGAGTCAGGCAGGACAGGGCAAGGACCCCATTATTTCTGCTTCTTTCTGGAGGCAGAGGGGCAATGTAGCTTCCGGGTGTAGGATCCCAGGCACAGAGGCCTGGATTTAGGCCCCCAGGTCACTGTTTACCAGCTCTGGAACCCTTAACCACCACAAGCTCTCAATGTCACAATGACCCCATCCAGAAAGTGGGCCTCAGTTCCACCTTCGCCTCTTGGAGTGACTCTGGGGAGTAAGTGGTCACCCTTGGCTCCAGCACCCCGGGCCTGACACCCTGTGAGCGGTATCACTAGGTCCTCCGTTAGGCGGGTGGGGAAACCGAGGTTCATTTGATTCTTAACTGGCAGAACTGGGACTAGAACCCTCCCCTCCCTTTTTGGCTTCCTATTCTCTGACACCACAGATGGTGTGCCGAGAAGAAAGCCGAGGAAAAGTGAGGAGGGAATTAGGAGGCCCAGCGAGATGGAGGGAGGCAGGAGCACCCTGATCAATTACTTGGGCTATAAATTCTGCTGTTTTGCAAAGTGAGCACACAGCCTGGAGAAGGAGGGATCCCGGGAGGGACGGGAGGAACGCAGCAGAGCCCAGCCTGCACCAGTCCAAGCTGCTGCTACCTTCTGTGCTTGGAACCAGAGACGGATGAGCTGCAGGTGGAGGTGCTGTGGAGGTCAAGGGCCCACAGAGGGAAGGAGAGGAGAGAGCCCATGAGCTCTTGGGAGAGCCAGCCTTCCTGCCCCTCCGTAGAGGCTCTCCCACGCTGCTGGGCGGGGAAGCCAGGCCTTTAATGCTGTTCCTGGGGTTGGCTCAGAGGAGGCCACTGGACCTCAGCATGCCCATCCATAGAATAGGGCCGTGAGAACATCTCTTCTGCGGCCAGTGGGAGGGGTCAGTGAAGTCTAGGGTGTGGCCGGCTTTGCATGGGGCTCTGCACACACAGCAAGTAGAATTGCTGCTGTTATGGTTATTACTAGGAAGATAACCCTGGGCTAGGGGCTTGGCAACAGGCAGATGGGAGGCCAATTTAGTTATTTAAAGGAGGGAGGTGCTGGGAGCAGGGGTACAGCTCCGCCAGGAGAGCGCTTGTCTAACATGCAGGAGGCCTGGGGTTGATCTATAGCTCCAAATAACCCAGGCATGGTGACTCACACCTGGGACCCAAGCACCTGGAAGGTAGAGACAGGAGGATCAGTAAGTAGTTCAAGGCCGAGGTCACCCTTGGTTCCTTAGTAAACTTGCCACATAAGAATTTGCCTCAAAGAGAGGGGTCTTCCCCGGGAGGGGCAGTGCTGGCAAGAGTTCCCACAGTCGTGAGAGGGTTTCCCACCTTGCTGCATGTCATGGCCAGAGACCTGCCTCTGTCTTCTGAGAATGCCCACAGTTGCTGCTTGCTGTCTCTGGAACCCTGAACTAACATCTCAAGCCTTTTAGGGCCCCAACGTCCCCATCTGAAAAGTGGGTCTCAATGCCACCTCCACTTCTCTGAGGTCAGGTGCTCACTTTGCAAAACAACAGAAATTTACAGTCCAAGTAGTTGACCAGGGTGCCTACAGAGCAAGGCCCGGGTTCTGTTCCCAGCTGGAAAACAGGTGGACCTCCTCTATCCATGGCCTCCATGTCCCTGGAGCCTCCTGCAGCTCCAGGAAGGGAAAGGCAGAGGCCAGCCTCTCCCACTGGAATCCAGGTGTCCCAGGAAAATGGGGTCGTGGGAACAGCCCACTGTAGGATTTCAAAGGCTGGCCACTCAGAGGCAGCCCCTAGACATCTCCAACTACAGGGCAGGAGTACTCAGGAGCGAGCCAGCCCCAGGCTGGCAGTTACTTGTCAGGAAGGAAATAATAGTCATATCTCTGACCCCAGACAACAACTAAATAAATGAGAGATGACAGATGGCCATAGACAGCTACGAACTGCAGACACATAACAGTGTGAAAAGCTGGAGTCAAGGGGTGAGGGCAAGGGGTGACGACCCGCTCACGAGCCTTGGAGCCTTGGAGAAGAGGTTGGCTGTTTGTGAAGGCGAGGACCAGAGATGGACCCTCCGGCTTCAGATCTCCAGGATGAAGACAGAGAGAGCAGCTTCCAGGAAGCCTTAAATGAGATACTTCTTTAAAAAAACAAAAACCAAACAAACAAAACCTTCATTGCATAGGAACAGTAAGACGCCTTGCTAAGAAAGGCTATAACAAATAACCCTGTAATGGTTAGTGTCCATGCCAACCTCTGGGCACGCTGCGGGTGATTATCCTGATCGCATTAATTCAGGTGGGAAGACTCACTCCACTGTGCATGGAATCCCTCCCTGGGACTGTATAAAATGAGAAGGTGAATTTGCACACTAGCTGTATCCCCCCAAGTCTCCTGATTGTGGATGAGACGGGACCAACTGCTTCAAACACCATCTGCCTTGACTTCCCCGCCATGATGGACTGGACCTTGAACTCTGAGCCAAATGAAACCCTTTCTCCGTTAAATTGCTTTTATCAGAGAGAACTTTTTGTTGTTGTTTTTTCTTTCAGTTTTATATATGTTTATCATGAGTTTTAATCCTTTTAACCCCCATTACCCACCCTCCTAAATTTTCCTGATGTAACCTTTCTTCCCAACAAGTCCCCTTCCAACATTCATGTCTCATGTATGCGTGTGTGTGCACGTGTGTGCGTGCGTGCGTGCGTGCGTGCATGCGTGCATGAGATAGATGTCCTATTTAGGGCCAGGCACTCCCTACACCTTGACCAGTCATGAGTCTCAATAACTGTCATCCACTGCAAGAAGCTTCGCTGATGAAGGCAGTTTGACCCCACATCCATTTTGTTGAACAGTGTAGGCGTCTCACCAAGGCCTACAAACTCCCAGTTAGAGGTTCTTGGCCAGGCTTATAGTACCAGGCCTACGATCCCTCTGTCAGTGTATTTTACCACAGGAAAGGAAACTAAGACAGACCCCAGACAAAAGCACATCTATTGCTCCTGTCACAGACAGATACGAGCTGACAGAGAGGGCAAAAGCTCCTTGTGGCCATGCCATTCTGAAGGACTTGTCTGCAACAACTGGAGGAGAGGGAAAGACTCTGTGGAGGACAGCATGGAAGGATGTTTATTTCCAGATAAAAGGGGAGGGGTGGGACACTTCCCTCCATGATCAAATCCATTGGCCAGAGCTCAGACATGTGGTCATGCCTAATGCAAAGGATTATGGGAAATGTAGTCCAGTTATATTTCCTCAATAGAGCCCTGTCCCAGAGCTTGGGAAACACATGGCCATCTCTTTTATAGATACTGTCCTCTTGGGATGGATGAACCGAAATGGGTTAATGCTAGTGAAGCACACCCGGGGGTGGAAACTGAGTGTGGAGACCAGTGACCATTCCAGACACCTGGTGGCCTTGGTGTGGGCACAG